ATGAAGCGAGGTGCAAGGTGGGATGATGTATGTGTATGTGCTTAAGAAAGGATGAGTGAATCCACGGCAGGTGGCCATTGGTCAGAGAATTTATTATGGCTAGGGATTTTCGGGTTTGCAAATGTTGAGTTCGAGGCGGTTGGGTCGCTGAGTTCAGGGGGCAATTGCTGAGATTTGTGGGCATCGGTATGGATTGTGATCTATACTCTAGGAGGGGCAGCAATTGAGTTGTCAACTAATTTCAGAGTCAGTATGAGTAGTTTCGTATGGGTGGTGATCAGTAGAGAGTGGAGCTTCGGATTCTTGTCAACGTGTTTTCAGTCGTTGGCGATTCCTCCATGTTTTAATTTGTGATATTGGGGTATTTCGAGATTTCGAGTTGCGTGAGTGGAAGATCAGTGGTTGAGGCAAGACACAGTGAGATGTAGTGATGGTGTACTGAGGTACCCATGTATGATGTCCTAATTTTTGGTCATGTTGAGACTCGAGTTGTGGGATGGCGAGCGAAGTACCGGGTGACTTTTGTTCCAGTGGGAACCCCTCGGTTAATTGTCGTCAGAGTCGGACTGTCTAAGGGTATAACCGTGCGAAGAAAAGTGTCTTGCCTATGAGAACTTACATCAGGAAGTGGTGGTGCATAAAGTGAGTGGGTGTGTGCACTTATCTATGTTGGGTTGCGGAGCATGAGTTGGTGAACTCAGTGTGGTGATGAGTTGATGATGAGATTATGAGGTGATACGAGAGCGGGTGGATCCGAGTGGGGGGTAATCACTTGGGATTATCGGGGAAAAACCAGGGAGTGATCCCATGGTGAGTCAGTGAGAGAAAGGGTATCGTGTGACTGCGGAGATCCGCAGCATACGTGAGTCAGAGAGAGGGTATCGTGATACTGCGGGGAGTCGTGGTATTCACTAGTCAGAGAGGGAGTGTATCGTGTGACTGCGGGGAGCCGTAGCATACGTGAAGTAGAAAAAGAGTATTGTAAGACTACAAGGAGCCGTAGCATCAGTGAGTCACCGAGAGAGTGTCGTGATACTACGGGGGTGATGTAGTATTCGCTAGTCATAGTATGGCGCAGAGGAGTTCTTAGGCTTGGGTAGCCTTATCGTTTGAGTCTTCGGGAGCCTGGTTGCCGAACCAGGGGCGAGATGGGGGTCTCCGTGTCAGTTGGGAATTAATATATCCCAGGTGAGTGGGGATTATCGTAATCGGGAGGAATTGGGGAGAACGTGTGTGCTCAAATTCGCGAATCTTGGGTCATGAGTTGAGTACCAGATTGGAATTGAGTGGTTCCAAGTCTGTTGTTGAATCAGACTATCGAGCTTGATTCTGGATTCGTTCGTGTGTTGTGTAGGCAAGATGAGCTTTAGGTTTTGTAGATGGGTTGCATTTTGAGGGATATTGATCTTCACCTGATTTCTTAGACCGTAGTGGGTCAGATTCGTGGGTATGAGAATACTCGCGAGACGCATGGAACCAGTGGGTGGTAGATGACAAAGGTCGGAAGCGAGACGATTTTCAGATGAGCTGTAGCATTCGCTTGGGGTAAAGCGAACTTCGTGACTTGTGTGTCGCGATGAGCCGAGATAGTGATCGTGAGAAGGAAGTTGGTGAGACGTTTTGGTTTGCTATGAGTAACCATTGGAGGTTCATCTTTTGGGTCGGGAGCTGACCTGGTGCTCAGTATTGAAGGGGAAATCTGAGAGGAAGCTGGGGCTTATGTCTATGGGTGTCAGAGGATACTTCCAAGTGAGTATAGTGTTCTTAGATTATGTTAATCAATGAGATTAACATGATATTTTGCGAGGATGGTCTGGCAGGGAGACAGACCACTAAAGTTTTCTAGTTCGGAAAGAGTCAGATCGAGTACCGCAGCGGCAGATGGGTCTGTCCTTCTTTGGGGTCGGGAGTTCCTGTTGGGATCAGGTGTCTTTGGAAGAGATTGTTGTATGTTAAGAGGTCCTTTCGGTGGTGCTTTTCGGGTTATCGGTTCGATCTATGTGTTGATAAGGAGCGATTTTGAGGGCGAAATCTATTTCAAGTGGGGGAGAATTGTAACATCCTGTTTCTGATCGTCCGTGATTAGGGCTCCTGGGCTGCAACCGAGCAAGAGGGAGTCTCGGGGTTGTAACAAGTTGCTAGGAGCTTAGGGCATCTCGTCACCTATCCGAGGGTATGAGGTTCGTGGGAATTGGGGTTATGTCGAGGAAGCAATGACAGTTGATAATTTTGGCAAGATAAGTCCCTTAGTTGAAATTGTTGACAGCGGAGTACGCTAGGCGTACGTGTGTGTACACTTAGCGTACTCATGCGCTTGACATTTAAGTTGAGCCACCTAGTACGTTGGGCATACTAGGCACAGAAGGAAACCCTAATTAAGAGGAGTGTCCCTATATAAAGAATGAGATGACCTCATTCCTGGCCACCATCTTCATTCAATAAACTCCCCCTAAACTCTAATCCTCGTTCTTGAGCTTGTGTGTGACCATTGTGAGTTTATAAGTGTTTTATGGGATCTTTGGAGTGAAGATGGAGCATGGAAGAGAATAGAGTTGGAGTCAAGGCTTTAGATCTGAGCTTTCCTGTGGATGGAGCATCATCTGAAGGTATAAAGCTTAGATCTTTCTCATCCTTTTTGATTTGTGCATAATATGGTCAATTTTAGGGTTTTTGGTCCCAAAGCTTGAAGCTTTATGAGTTGTTGCACTCCAGAGCCTAATATCTGTCCTTATAAGGGTTTCTAGTGAAGAGGATCCATAAAAATGAGGTCTTGGACGTGGGAACCACCTCATGCATGAGATATGAGTATTTTTTAATCAAGAGAATGAGAGTTTTGGGTGTCTGTGACTTTATCAGCCATGCAAAGGCTTAAAGTCCCTGACTTTATGGAGTAAGAGCCATTAGGGAGCCCAGATCTGAGAAATGAGCTAAGGTCTTAACGGGTTAAGACCAAGAGAATGGATTAAGCATAACTGGGTGTACGCCCAACGTAATTCCAATACGCCCCGCGTACTGGGTTGAGGTCCCCGATCAGATTCGTGCATGATAGTGTACGCTGAGTGTACCAAGGGAGGTACGCCCCGTGTAACCTTACTGTGGGCTTTTGGGTTAGATCTTTTAATGGGCCTTAGGGATTGGCCTGGATGTTTGGGCTTGTGTATTAGAGACTTTGAGCATAGAAATATTATATTGTGCTTTGGGCCCTTGAGTTGGGCTTACCATTTAGATTGAGAATTGGGCCTTGGGAGAGCCCATCTATTATTGGGCCTTGGTGGGCTCAATGGGTTTTAGGTCATTGATGGGCTGGTTAGTGGACTACCTTTAGTCCTAATGAGTGAGAGTTTTGGACTTAGTTCCTAATTTGGGATAATTGTGGGTTTGGCACAGAGTTAGTGGTCGGTGCGTAGCAACAGCGTCTATAGGAGCTGTTCGTCATCTGAGGTGAGTCTTCTCACTATACTTACCATGAGTGGTATCCTTGTGTGACTGAGATGTCTTATGTGCTTATTTGTGTATTGTGATATTCTGCATTATGTCTCTGTGATTTATGTTGAGTATTGTTATTATGAGCTTGTTGAGTTAGGACCGGAGGGTCCACCTGAGTTCTGGGACCGAAGGGCCCCACTGAGACACATTGACCGGAGGGTCTTATCTGAGTATAACCATGAGAGGCTACTGAGATGTGTGTGGTATTTTAGGGAACTCACTAAGCTTCGTGCTTACCGTGTGATGTGTTATGTGTTTCAGGTTTTCTCAGGATCGCGGGAAGGCACCGGCTCGATTGTACACACCAGAGAAAGAGTTATGTTTTGAGGATCCTGGATTATTAAACAAACAATTATGGAGATGCGTTTTGTAAATTAAATAAATGAGATTTTGTGAAATGCGTTATGAGATTTATATGAATTTAAAATGAAAATTTTGTTTGGAAATTTACGGTGTTACATAAGTATAGAGGTATATGGGTTATTAGGCTTCTATAACCAAAACAAATTTGTCCAGTAGTGGAGGATGCTAGCATTTTAAGGGGCTATTTGTTTTTTAAACCATTTCTGATCACTCATGGTTGCACCGCACAGAATACGCGCAACATTTGGCCTTTCGCAATTGTTTGTTTTTTAAAAGACTTCTGACTTAAAAACTGATGTGCGTGTGTTACGTCCTGCACCACTGGACCCTCCTCTTTGAACCATTTCTCACCTTACTTTAAGTGATATTATTCAAGTGATATTATTCAACATAGATTTGTTTTAATTTTTTCAACATGTTTATTGTTTTAATAATATTCTGATGGATATTTACAAAGAATTCAAATACATTTTACATAATTTCAAAACCGTTTGGTAAATTTCATATATTACTTTTTTGAGTTGCATTGTCTATACCCAAATATTAATAAATACAAAGTTAATCACTAAAATTACCATACATATTGAAGCTAACCGAATAAATAACCATCGTCTTAGAAAATTTAACAAAATGAATATATTGTTCGCTAATTTAACAATTTTATTTATTGTTAATTAACAATTATTATGTTTAATTATTTTATATAAACGTCTTCAAAAATCATATCATCACAATGATCTTTATATTCGATTTGCATATGATTAAAACTAAATAATTTTTTATTTAGAATTATTTTTAACTATTGTATGGTTAATTTCAGTTTATTTCAACAGTCCGCAGACGTTAAAAAACAAACATACTTTTTATTGCAGTTTGCAGACGTTTGGTCCACTTTTTCTGCTGCAGAGGGTTGCAGATGTGTTCCGCAAACTACATAAATTTTAGCTTCGAAAAAACAAACAACACCTAAGAATTTATCCCCTTTCTCGATAACTATCACCCTATTATGTCGGCCATATATTTTTTCTCATGATCATCGATACGGTTATCTCTCTCGATAGCTTGCAACTCAAAACATTAGCATTTTATTTCAAGAGTTTTGTAAAGCTCTCGAGAATTGCATGTTTGATGTTCCACAACATCATATTTTACATCAAAACCTCATTTTTTTCAAGTACACAAAACATAATTATGCGCTAACTACATTATGCTTCACTCCATTTATGTCAGAACCTCCCATCATCCAGTTTTGTTATGGGTTTTCAGAATTCTTGTTGTTGTCGACCCTAGGAATAGCATTTTTGTCGAGTTCTCCACCTGCAAGAAAATTTTCAACATCATGATCTACCCACACTTCCATTGAAGAAAATAAGCAGTTGTCATCATCAGTTTTATGTATGTATGTATGTGTTTATATGTATAAATTATACCATCGGGATGAAGAAATGTGCCAGTATAGTAGGAAGCATCCTCGGATGCGAGGAACACATATGATGAACCTACTTCAACGGGTTGAGCTGCCCTATTCATCGGTGCCTGTGACCCAAAAGTTGCTATATCCTCGTCATCGAGAGTTGCAGTAAGTGGGGTCCAGATAGGGCCAGGGGCCACACCATTAACACGAATCCCCTTGTCGATAAGGAATATTGCTAGACTCTTGGTGAAGTTCATAATGGCCCCCTTTGTTGAAGCATAATCAATGAGCTTTGCGCTGCCTGCGAATCCCAACACTGAAGTGGTGTTTATGATGTTGCTTCCTGGTTTCATGTGCTTAATAGCATGCCTATACATCCAAGTCATCACACCCATCAAAATTAAAAGTGAAATTTATTAAAAAGGCTAATGAGAAAGTTGTGCAATCTCAACCTTTCTCTGTAAATTGCTTTAATTCATTTTATTAGGGTGATTAATTGTTGAATTTAAATGTTGTAGTAACTTATTCATGTCTTAGAAAGTTTTATGGGATAAACAATGTCTATGGGCTGATTTTTTTGGGGCTATCGTGTTGCAGGGTTGGACAAGGTAGTTGTTTAAGAGATTACAATATATGGTGACTGAAAATGTAGAAGATTATAATTGTTGGACCACGGGCTCGTTTCCTGTACACTTCAGAAGAAAGACACAGACCTTCTTTGTCTCAACACGTCATTCGGACATTACCAGAGTTATAAAATCCTTTCAACTAAGGAGATAAGTCATTATTCACTCCTCTCTCCTCTCTCCTCTCTGAGTTCTATCTATCTCGATATTCGTTAGGGTTTCTACATGGTTGTTTGTTTGTTTTGTTCATCAGCAAACTATGCAAAACTACACTCTATAATCTTGCTATCTAGCTTATTTCGTGTTATATTTTTCAACTTTTGTGTTTTATTCTTGTTATACTTACAAACTACTGTATTTCAGAAGATTTTTAGTAATAAAGTTGTATACTCTTATTCAAAAATTGTTTATATTTTGAAGTAAATATAAGCTTCATCGATTGAGTTTTCTCAAATCATCATCATAGATATTTTCATTTAAGTTTCACCGCAAATCTAACTTTTTCCACATTTTAAAAATGACAGAACTATCATGACGTGTTAAAATGTTGCTATTTTTCTACTCGGCAACTACTCGGTGAAAAATAATCAAGTTATTTGACAAACACGTAAAAATGGTCTTTGGCACTGGAAAGATACCCCTCATGAAATGGTAAGGGTTCAAGTCTCGTTGGACAAAACGTGTATATGTCATTAATGTTTTTGTGAATATATTGGAAGCTTCACATAAAATAGATGTCATATAAGGAGTGGAAACATTAGATGACATGGAAGAACACCTATCTATCCTTGAGGTAAGCAGATGTCTACGTATCCATGCGTACAAGTGGTAGACACTCTCGATTCCAAAGATAATATGTTTAAATCAGTACTACAAATCTCTACATATTATTCACTTGATTTTTCTTCTATTTACCTATGTTTGAGAAGGTTGCATGCCACGACTAATTTAAATTGAATTTGAGTATAATTTCCAAAAATCACCTACTTGGTTAGATATTGTCCTTATACTGTAGTAAATCATTCCAATTTATTTCAACTCTAATTACCCAAATTTATATACAAATAAACTCTACATACCATTCTTACAGAGAGAAGAGACTCGATCATCAATTACTAAATTCAATAACTACGTGTAGAATTGTCGATTTATCACCGAATGTCTAACAAAGTATGCCCATAACTAATATTTTGGATATAATATTAAACTATAAACAAAAACTAGTATAGTTGATTCAGCAGACATAAAAGATAAGAAGAAATTTATCAATTATTACTGTGTGATTTGCAATATATTCCTATTACTTGCATACAAAAGACCCATTTTCTTCAAAGTCATAATGTATGTTAGTACAATTATCCGTTCATGCTCTACTTTAACAAATTTTAGTTTAAAAAACAATAGCTATTCATTAGTTTTTTTATCCTCTTAAAAATTCTTACGTATAGGGACAATGTAATAGAATTTCTCAAGAAAACATTAATTTGTCAAAGAAACAAAATAATAACGAGCACATTAAGAGGATAACACACCTTGTCATGAAGAAATAGGAGAATATATTAGTCCTAAATATCCTTTCAAGCCTCTCTTCCGTGATATTGTCTAATGTATATGTTGCGTACTGCACGGCTGCATTGTTCACCAGTACATCAATGCGTCCATATTTTGAAACAACCTCGTCTACAACTTTCTTACATTGCTTATCATACCTAAGATCAGCAGGTATTGCAATTGGATCACCTGCGTAACTCATTTTTGAATCATTTATCATCTCTAAGGTGTACTTTGCATCTATGTCTTCAACACCTTTAACATAAGTGAATGCTATAGTTGCACCCTCCTTAGCAAAGAAGTAGCAAACAGACCTCCCAATACCCGAATCCCCTCCTGTCACCAAAGCCACCTTTCCCTGCACCAAGAAATTAATTAACACGAAACAATTGATGGCCTTTTAGATAGAAAGCAAGCGGACAATGTGCAGATTATTAATCTCACCCCGTGAACGTGGAGCAGAGTTTCTATTTAAAAAAATAGGTACAGATACAGAAGATAAAATCTAATTACAAACTTTGACGGTTTGACCTATATATGTTAAGATAAACTAGAATAGAGATAAATATAAACTAATATTATGATATTATCAAATAATATTGTTAAGTTGAAGGTTGTAGGGGGACAAAATTAACAATAACAACACCTATGAGACAAGCTCTCGGATAAAATAGTAGTCTATATTTATATGTTTGGTGCGTTTATGTGCAATCGGGTTTTAGGAGAGAAAAATTGTGCTTTTGTTATCATATAATAGAGTCAGTTTACACGACAGATCTGTGTGAAGGTCACACAACACATGGGTGACCTAAACCATTTCAGCTGCAATGTTGACAAGAGCATGATACTCAGACTGACTGCTGATGCGATCTACCGTAGGTTGCTTTTTGGTGCTCCATGAGACAAGATTATCACCGATAAAGATTTAATAACCATATGTAACCATATGTGGATCGACAAGTGTCAACATATCGTGCCCAATCGGCATCTGAGTGTAAAAGAATCGATGATGAGGGTGAAGAACGAGAGAAATAGAGACCAAATTCGATAATACCTTTTAGATATCGTAGGATGCATCTACCGGAAAGGAAGTGATCATCCGTATGTGAATTTAAGTATTGGCTAATCGTATTAACCGCAATTGAGAGATCTGGTCGAGTGATGATCAGATACCGAAGCGCTCCAACCAAGGGATGGTATTATGTGTGATCCGGAAATGAAGTACTTGAGGCTTTAAGATGAGTAGTTGCCACAAATGGAGTTGGCACGAGTTTAGCTTCAAGGATCTGTGTACATGTAAGAATATCAAAGGAATACTTAGCTTGACTAAGAAATAATCCACCGACGTGTAAGCAGCCTCGAGACCAAGAAAATAACTCAATCAACCAAGATCTTTGGTGGCAAACTCAACATTGATCCGAGTAATAAATTTTTAAGTAGTGTTTGATCATTGTCGGTAAAATTGATGGCATAGACGTAGACCGGAAGGTAGAGAAGAGTAGATATGCGGATGAACCCAACCAATGAAGTATTTTCACGGCTACATTGCAATCCAAGTTTTTTTAAAAGTACTCAATCATTGGAACCAAGCTTGGGAGGCTTGTTCAAGGCCGTAGAGCGCTTTATTTAAACAATAAACTTGATTTGGGAAACAAGGATCAATGTAGCCCAATGGTTGCTCCATATAAATCGTTTCAGTTAAGTGGCCATTCAAAAAGGAATTTTTATTGTCCAACTAATAGAGAGGTCAATTCATTATAACTGCAAGTGATAGAACAATCCTCATAGTGGAGGCTTTGATGAATGGACTAGATGTGAGGATATAATCAATTCTAGGTATCTAAGTGAATCCTTGAGCAAATAAAGGCGCTTTGTAGTGATCATTGGATCCATTAGATAGATATTTCGTTTTCCATAGTAGAGACCCAAGTTGGATATTTCATAGAAGATTTAAATCCTTTGGGTTCCCGAGAAGCAAGACCAGCCAATTTGCATGGTTTTTAAATACCATAATGACTTCTAATCGTCATTTAGTTCACAAGAACAGCCTTAGGCAAGTTACAAGATGAATCCAGGTCGTTCATATGATAATTAGAAGGTAAAAAGGTAGTGGTTGGGGCTGAAGCTGAAGAAGGTGCAACAATAGGTGTGGGTATGTTAGATAGGATTAGATAATCATGTGGATCGGTACATAAGTGGTAGGTTGGGTTGTTGGTGGGTATTGGATGGCGGACTAGAATGATAGTAATAGATTGGGGGCGGTAGCATTAACTCTAGGTTCTAAAAGTATGGCAACGTCAAGGGTTGTTGTAGAAGATGATATCTCAACAAAAGAAAATTGTTTCTCATCAAATTTTGCATGTTGAGAAGTGTAAACTCAAGAGGATGTTTTTACAAGACAATGAAATAATTTATAATGACTGTTATAACCAAGAAAAATACACAAAAGACTACAAGGATGAAAGTTAAGTTTAGCATAATCCCATAAGAAGGGGAAAACTTTGTTAGGGTGCAAAGTCATGTTCAGTTGTATTGAATATTTTCAAGTGTGGCCTTGGTGTTCAAGTGTGCCCTTGGTGTTCATGTGTGCCCTTGTTGTTCAAGTGTGTTGTAGATGTTTAAGTGTGCATTTGGTGTTCAAGTGTGTCATTGATTTTCAAGTGTGCACTTGATTTTTAAATGTGTTGATGGTCTTCAAGTGTGTATTTATTGTTCAAGTATGAGGTTGATGTTCAAGTATGCTATTGGTGTTCAAGTGTTTCATTGGTGTTCAAGTGTGCCCTTGGTGTTCCAACTGGTAGCATGATGCCCACCCTTGGAATCAGGGTGTGCCACCGTTGCAGCAGATGTGCCCCTTTAGAAGCAGGATACACCACCTTGGAGCAGATGCATCATTTTTTTCTATAGGGTAGGGACCTTATAAGCTAAGTGTGCCCCCATTAATGCTCCATGGCTTACTAGGTGCAACCGTAAGTGCATGGCAGGTGGTCATGCACATTCGTCAAGACTAAAGATTCTAGAAGCACCCGTATTTGGAATTTACGGCACCCACTATATAGACTAAAAAAAATTATAGGACTGGCCCATCAGAATTATGGTTTTCCATGGTTGCCTATAAATAGGCTCATATCCCCCATTCATTATTCCTTACACATGAATTTGAAGAGATAAATCATTGTGAGGTTGAGAGCACATCCTCTTGAGCAGTTAGTAAGAAAGATAGATTATTTTGTTTTTAGAGCATAAGTAAGGTGTAACATTTTGTGTGTGATTGTAATTGTTCTTGGAAGTTTAATAAAATCATCTATCTCTCTCTCTCTCTCGTTTGCCCGTGGACATAGGTCACTTTGGATGAGCACGTTAAACATTATGTTCAATTTTGATTTCATTTTCAGAAGTTTTATTCCACAAGTTTCGCCGAAGTACGTTTATCGTTTTGTTTGAAGTGCTTAAATTGTTTTGTTGAATACCCAAAGAACTAGTATCAGAGCTAAGGATGAATATGGGAGAGTTAAGATTGACAAATCTGATGGTCATGATTTGGGTTTCAGGAAAATGCAAATCAATGACAATCTCTATCAGAAGAAGTTACATGAACCGTTTTCTAGAACGAAATATGATAAATGAAGGAGAAGCTTGGGATTTGTTAGATCGGATGGCACTTGGTGTGGTGAGATTATTATTGGTAAAGAATGTTGCTTACAACATTGTCAATATGAAGACTACTCATGTCTTGATCAAGACACTATCTGACATGTACGAAAATCTTCAATAGTGAATAAGGTTTTCCTGATTCGACAGTTCGTGAATTTGAAGATGAAGGAGGATGACTCAGTAACTGTCCATGTGAATGAGTCCAACTTAATCATATCAAGGTTGATTTTGGTTGACATTGGATTTGAGGAAGAAGTAATGGCTTTGATGCTATTATCATCTTTTCCTAATAGTTGGTCCAGTATAGTGACAACAGTTAGCAGCTCAGTCGGAGGTTCTAAAATGACATTCGAAGGCATTTGCGATTTAATTCTTGGTGTAGATGTGTGCAGACAGAGTGTTATATAAGCTTCCAGTAGCCTTATAAGTACTGAAGAAATAGGAAGGGATCCCAACAGAGGGGGTGCGAGTAGTGGAAAACCGAATTCAAGAAGGAGAGGTGGACAAAACATCAGGGACGTTACCAATTAAAACTACAAATAGAGTGGTCATGTTAAAAATCAGTGCTTGGAGCTCATGGAAGATAAAGGCCAGAAGGAGATGAGTATGGCAGGAGATTTTGTAGGTGACACGCTTATTTTTCAGTTGAAAACATAATTGAATCATGCCTCTTGGATTCTGGTAGGTCATTTTATGCCAATAATTCTAGTGATGTAATACATAACTTCAGCATTAGAAATGGAAGGTCAGACTGGCAAATAATAAGTGTCTAGATATCATGGTTGTCAGAGATATGGTTATCAAGATGATTATAGAAGATTTTGACATCGGTTAGGTAGCTTGATAATGAGGATCATCATCTTACATTTGGTGATTAGAAGTGGAAAATGAAGACGGGAATTTGACCATTTCTGACAGTAAAAAACGGGGACTCTATATAATGGAGGTTTCTGAAGATGAAACACCCGTTGTTGAAGGGGTTGGGACATCCACTCTATGCCACTAAATCTTTGGTAATATAAGTGAGGAAGGAATGAGGAAGCTTGTATCTAAAGAGAGAATGTCATATCTGAAAATTATGAGTGTTTCTTCTAAGAGATTGTTATTAGCAGATAAAAGAAAGTTAGTTTTGCAAAGATATGCAATCCGACAAAGTCTAGGAAGTTGATTTCAAATCATTCTAGTTTTTACAGTTCCATTTTAGTTTCTTCAGTGGGAAGATCATGAAATCACTCAAGACCTATCATTGGTCAAAGGATAGGTAGATGTTCAGGAAGCAGTGGGAGCTCTGATAAATCTGTAGAGAATGGGACCTTTGGTCATAATAGTTCTAAGGGTGGAGTTCTAGGTGTTGCAAATATTAGACCTCATATTATCTGAATGATCACTAAGAGAAGTACTCCAGTAAGGTATCATCTATCAACCAATGACTTGTTGATGTGTTAGAAGGGGTCAAAACTAGACGACGTGACGATGAACTCTATATAGTAGGAGAAGGTTATGGATGAGGAGTTGAGCGGATTGCAGAGTAGTCAGATGTTTCGAGTTAGGGATGAGATAAATAAGGAAGATTGGTTATCAAGGGAATCCAACAGAAGGAATAGGGGAATTATCCAAATGTAAAGACGAGTATAGTCAATTCAATCATGAATGCAATAGCCTCTAATAATCTCCATCTAAAGCGGATAGATGTGAATAAAACCGATTTGCTTGATGATAACCTGGAAGGATACATCTGTAAGGCACAACCCAAGAGTGCTCTTACAACTGGAGTGAAAAAATCGATGTTTAAGAAGAAAAATATGTATCGCATGAAGCAAACTTCTAAGCAATGGTACTTACAGTTTCATAACCTCATGAAGAGGAGTGAGTTCAAGAGACATTAGCTTGATCATGGATGTTACCTTAAGAAGTTTAGATCTCTAAAACTATCCTCAGTTAAATGTTCATGATGTGTTGATTGTAGGTGCCAAGATGCAGAAGATCAATGAGCACAAGATGCGGCTAACCAAAGAGTTGAAGATAATGAACCAAGGGGTTGATAAGCTGAAGAAAGTCCTTAGTATGGTAAACTCAATAGATAAATGTACTAAGGTGTTAACCACATAAAAATTGACGTTAAGTATGGCTTCAACTGTCCTTCAAAGATTTTGAGGAATAGGGATTGGCATATATATATATATATATATATATATATATATATATATATATATATATATATAGAGAGAGAGAGAGAGAGAGAGAGAAAGAAAGAAAGAGAGATAGTGTATGTTTGTGTGTGATTGACTAATGATGAAGATTTTAATGGTATATGAAGACTAAGTTATTCAATCCTTCAAGTGGGAGATATTATATATATATATATATATATATATATATATATATATATATATATATATATATATATATATATATATATCGTTCCCCCGCGGACGTATGTCACTTTGACCAAACTATGCTAGATGGTGTGTTTAGTTTTGATTACATTTTCAGAAGTTTTAATCAGCAAGTTTTATCGAAGTTTGTTTCTTGTTTTGCATGAAGTACTCAACTTGTTTTGTTGAATACCCGACAGACTCGGTAACCGAATGGCTGGAAATTCCATAACTTGGAGTGTTTTAAGTAACATCTCGAAAGGAGATTTGCCTTATAGAGCCGGTGTTGGAAGATGATTAATTATAAGCATCAAACCAATATAATGTGGGAAGTATCTAGTGATAGAGCATTATGAGACCCATTTCAATGATATGACGATGTTTTCGTTCGGCTCGACCATTTTGGGAAGGTATGTGTGGACATGAGACATGGTGAATACATGTTCAGTGAAAAAGTGAAAAAGTTGCTTGACCTTTGGATTCATAAATTTGGTTCCACCGTCGGTTTCGCAACTTTTATTTTCCTGTCAAATATGTTCTCAACAAAGTTCTTGAAATGTCTAGTACATCATAAAAATCTGAATTTCTTCTTAAGGGATATATCCAACTGAACCGAGAAAAATCATCGATAAAAATCACATAATAATAGTAACCATCGATAGATTTGGTTGGAGTCGGCCCCACAGATCGCAATGTGCCAAGTCCATAACTACAGCTCCTCCTTTAGTATTACCATTAAATGGTAACCGATAACTTTTTTCCATTTCACAAGTACATAAAGAAGGGTTAGGCAATATAAAAGTGATAAATAACCCTTATTTTTTAGAAACAAAAATAAGTCAAATGCGACATGCCCCAAACATTTGTTCCACAAATCAAAAAATTATGGTTGAGCATGGGTCGGTTTCAACCTATAATCTAACCCAAACCGATGGAATTGGTTTTTAAATAATCCAAACCGAACCCAGAACCCAAACCAACAGGTTCGGTTCCAAGTTCAGTTTCCAGTTTCCCGGGTTCATTTCCAGGTTAAAGAAGTTTGGATACCTTTGAGCAAAGATAAGCATTATATAAGTTTATATAAGCACCAAGAGGTACTACTTTTCAGTCTCATTAGCGATGTGGGATGAATTGAGCTTATGAGAAAAGAAAAAGGATGAATTAAGCTTATGAGAAAAGAGAAAGTCTTTTATAATGCTTGACGAGGCGTTGTGTTGCTACCTCCGGCAATATGGGATAGTATTAAGTGTTTGGAAAAATAAATCAATTGTGTATGTCCCATATTCGAACAGGCAAAAGGATTAGAGGGCAAGCGCGTTAACCAGATGAACCAGGCGCTGATTTTGTTAGGATTATGCAAACTATATGTATATTATGTATATAAAATATATATTTTTATAAATATTTTATATAATCGGTTCGGGTTCGGTTTGTTTCGGTTTTACCATATAAAGAAACCGACCCAAACCGAAATTTTTGGTTTTTGAAAAATCTCAAACCAACCCGTCGATTTATACTTCGGTTTCGGTTTCGTTGGTTTTTGTTAGTTTTTGGGTTTCCAGGTTCGGTTTTACTCACCCCTACAAAAAATTCACGAAAATGATTAGATTTTAAACAATATAGAAAAGCACTTTGTCCTTGCTTCAGCACATATAACCCATGCTCAACACTTTGTTTAGCCAGTATGGTTTTTTCTTGGATTCCAAAGTGAAAACCAGTCATGTGTAAATAAAACATCAATTGGATAATTGTGAGCTTGCTAATCGAGAGAAATTTTTTCGTAAGTGTCAAAACAACCATTACATCTTCTAAAGTAATAGACAATGAAGATACGAAGAGCCAATACGAGATATAGATAAATTGGTATTTACGGACGACAACATTTTCAAGCCCGAGCAAGGAATTGAGTGATCCAAAACAGGGGATAGAGCCATACGTGTGGAAGCTCCGATGCCAACAAACAAGTCAGATCGATTAGAATTAGCTAGCGAGCATGAGTGTGTTAATGCTTTTGCACGATTAGGAAATTGAGTATAACGTTGAGATCATGTTTTACCAGTATGACCAAATTTATCGCACATCTGAGATTAGGGTGAATAATTTCACCGATTATTAGACCGGTTTCAAGATCCACACCACGACCTCCACACCCACGAACACGCGGATTCGCGGAAGTATAATTGCAAGAAGGAAGACATTGGGTTTAGGCAACGAGCAGCCTCAAGAGAAGCATCAATGTCCATGGATTGTTGTAGAATCTCAAAGCTTTCAGCACAAGCAAGGAGATCAGGTAAATAAGGAAAACGGATAAAGGGACATTTATGTAGCAGCAAGCAGATCACACAATGATTTAAATCGGCGACCATATTCTGATATGGATCGAGAGCCATGTTTAAGAAGTTGCAAGTCGTCTTTAAGGCGAAGTTCAAGGGTTTTTAAATGGTGATTGTAAACAGCTTCAAGAGCGTGGTTTATAAGAAATTAAAAAGTAGAAACCATGAATTTTGATATATTTTTTATAATTTTTTTAAATATATATATATATAATTTAGTAATACATTAAAATAAAGAGGAGAAAGGGATGTAAGGAGAGGGATTCACGCATGGAGTTTCACCAACCGCACCACGGCAGCCCACCATATGGTGCGCTGGGTGTCTACTATTAGGCGTAATAACTACAAACTCGAAAGCTTAATAAATAAGGAATTAAATTTCTTCTAATTTAGCAGCACTTTAGAAAGGTTAAGAAATGATTAGAATAACTGAAACTTGGTGAACGAATTGTACTTTCAGTTTGTTAGTGGGTTGATAATGAGGATTGCTGAATATTGGCAAAGGATCCATGAGGTACTCTTTTCCGGGTTGACCATCCTGGTGTTGCGGTGGAAATCGCCGTTTGAATTCTTCCCTCTGCATCGCCTTTACCTATGGAATAGTCACCAAACTTCCATTAAAATACTTGCATGCTTGTGAGAGTTTGTCATCAATGATACTTACATGTCCGATAAAAAAAAAATAGATAGACCTCAAACATGCAAGGCATTGGACTCAAGCTTCAAACATACACTAAACAATGCATTACTCAACCAATATTTTATTGAAATACACATTACTCAACCGAATTAAAGTAAACATTTTGAATAAAAAAGAAGATGACCTTAAAGGTTTGAATACTAGAGGAACCACGTTGGAAAACACTTGGTACCATCGCTTCAACAGCGTTATTGCTTATGCTTGTTGAAGCACGTGAAGCCAGCAGCCTCAATGACCATAGACATGAGTTCTCTTTGATAAGAATCGGTGTGCTGGACACCGATCCCACTAAACAAGCCATCACTTAGCAGAATATCACTTACAATGGATGAAACGGACGAAAAATATATAGTAGGAAAACATCAATCATATAAACGTCAAGTTCAATAATATGAAATGAATGTTTGGTATACATTTCAACCTTGCTTTTTCTATCATCTCACTACTTAGCTACCAAGACACGTAAACTCATTATATGAAAAGTCTACCGGAAAGATTTCTATTTACATCGGTTTCTATTGATTGTGTCTATAAATCTCATTGTGAGTAATCTTTTTCATGTCCTTTCGGTACCTATTATTTCTTCTTTATATATATATATATATATATATATATATATATATATATATATATATATATATATATATATATATATATATATATATATATATATATGCGACACACGTAATTGCATTATATGGAAAGTCTATTCGAAAGATTTCTATTTACACTCGATTCTATTGCTTGTGCCTATGGATCTCATTGTGAGTAATCTTTTCATGTCATTTCGATACTTATTATTTCTTATTATGAGTTAATATATATATATATATATATATATATATATATATATATATTTACTATCTTATAAAAGAAATCTCACTATTTCTATAAATAGATTCAATAAAATAATAATATTTTTTAAGATGTTCAAATCATTAAGCTATTGGTACAAGTAGCCATCAATAAATAGTAATATTTTTTAAGTAGTACAAAACATGAAAAATGAAGTACAAGTAACCAATGCATCAGGTTTGACCCAGTTCCTTAGTCCAAACGATGAGTTGTGAAAAAGCAAAGATCCCGGAAAAAATCTTTTCAGTTCGTGCCCCCTTCCCCTATATCCGTTCTTCTTCTCCTAAAAAACCCTAAGACCACTCACTACTCATGACCACCGGATCCCTCAGTTATGTCGTGCACACCACCACCGTTTCTCTTTCTTCCACCAACAAACAAACCCTAATGGAAATCTTCAGCATAATTGATGCCGCCTCCCCCGACCTTCATCTTCTTAAGATTAAGTGGTACAAGTTGGATAGCATAAATGAATTCCGTGTTTTTCTTCTAACCCTAGATACAAAAGCCTAAAATTGTCAGCTTTGCCTCATTTGAAGATTTACACAGTCGTGCTTTCTCTCTTGAAACCCTAGAACCAAAAAACTCGGTAGTGTCCACCTTTTAGGTCTGCATCTTTTTTCGATGTCATCGACATTACCTCCAACAACAGTCATTGTTCGATTCAACTTCCTTCACTAGAACCATCCTTGATGTCGTTGTTCATCACCACACACTACCCTACTCCTCCGTGACCACCATCAACGCTACATTGTCGCCACTCCTACAATGTCGTCACTAACATCCATGGAAGACAGCACAACATTCACAACCATCGAGCAGCCACCACCTGCTCCCTTCTCCCCGGTACTTTACCTTATGGACATTAAAGTTTACACTTAATTTTCTCTCTTATTTGTCTCTTAATCGTTGATTTAGGGTTTTGGTTGTGGGCTCTTCAACCCTCTCTCTATTTATCTCTAAACAGAAACGCCTGGTGGATGAAAGCTTCAGAAGGTTTTGTAAATAATCTCTAACATTTCTCATCATTGGCATTGTTTAAAGAGAACATCGAAGGTTTGACAGTTTTATTGAATTTTTTTTTTTGTTCAGGATATTTGAAAATCTAGGAGTAACATAAAGGAAATTGGGGTTATTTTATTCTTGGCTTTCATATATCTTATATAGAGATACTCCTACATGCACAATAATGTTATTGATTCTTTTATTTTCGTGAGGTTTCAAATGGTGGTTACTGGATGAAACATATGGTTTTTATTTGCAGGTATATGCTTTATTTTAAGTTGTGTATTGGATATATTTATTGTCTGTGTTTCATAATATGTGTGCCTGTTTAACAGTAAAACTAAAACAAAGGAACCTAGAGCTCAATTTCCTGGCTTAGTTTTGGTAGGAAACAAAATTTCACTAGCAAACTTTAAGAGATGTTTATTTGCTTGTATCCTTACTATATAAAGGTTTTATAATAATATCAGTTTTAGTTTTACATCTTCTTATAAAAGATTAATTACATCTAACTATTTATTGTTACCATTTTTGTTTTTTGGTGGATTTCCACGAAAGTTTGAGGTGGATTTGAAATTCTGTTGCATGTATAAGATAATTAGAAGTGTGTACCTTTTTTACTTGTCGGTATGCAACCACTCCACTCTTTTTTATATCTTTGGCATTATATGAGAAAATATGTTATTCCTGTGGGTTTGGTTTTGTGTTGGATTTATCTATGCCCATTAACATTATGAAAACGAAACAAGATTATATATTCAATTATTGATTTGATTTTGAACTCATATATGTTAATATAATGTGTGGATAAGTTCTAATGTAAACAATAATAACTATAACTTATGTCACATGATCTATTTTTATAGTGAGGTTTGCTTAAAGTTCTTGCTTTTTATTTCTTTATATAGTAGTTTTATGTTTCTACTTTTTTCAGATAAAGAGGTGGGTCATTTCTTGTCAGGGATTTAAACTTTGAAAGCCAAGAGATGTGAATTTGGTGGCAGTTTAACATGAATAGAAAAACTATTCTTAAATTTATATTTTTTATCAGGGTGTAATATGACAGAGGTGATGAATGTTGTGTTGGTGAAACGCATGAGCGACATCAATCATTTTAACAAGGAATACAGGTAGAAATAACAACATAGTTACACTAAAATGTTCATTCTATCATCCTATTTATAATCTTAGTGATATTCATATACCTTTCTACCAACAACTCTGTTTATTGAGTTAAATCAGGGTTTTGTCATGATGTTTTATGTGGTAAAGACTGCAAAAAAGAAATTTCACCACAACAATTTACTTAAACAAAATCATCAAAAAAACTGTCCAGAAAAGTTATCCTAAATTTTACTTTTTATTGACAGTTTTTGTGATAAAACATGCAACAAACTCTATGTTTTATTATTATTGCAAATTACTTTAAAAGAGGGTCGCTATTTTAAAGTATAATGTCCAATTTCTTCTTAATTAATCTCTCCATTATTTTTTTTATAGTTTTAATTTCTTCTTTTTCATCATGTATTTGCTTATTCACTTGAGTCACTGAAATGAGGTGGATGGTCGTCTACTCAAATATGCAGACACCTTTTAAATTTTTATTCCCTAGAAAATGGGATTTCACTTTTTTTTTTGTTTGTTCAGCTCTGTGGTCTTCCATGTTTTGTTTTTCACAGGGGCATAATAAGGAAAGACATTTTACTGATAATAATAAGAAATGTCAAGCCTTTTCTTCTCATCCCTTGAAATAAGTATTACTACCAATGTTCATTGTGTTCCATGAAAGATGTCCCAGTATCGAGCATCAACCTGAAACTTGGACCCCCAGTTAGCTATTGGTAAAAAAAAAGTTATTACCACGCGATCTGTAACCGTGGTTGAAACAAATGTTGATCATGTTGCGACGAAACCTGTTGAGAAACAAGTAATAGCTACACACTTCCTTTTATATATGTCTTATAGCATAATACTTTCATTTTTTTCCATTTACAACATTGTATTTTCAGTATTAATTTCCTAACAATGCAATGTACATTAATAAGTCAATGGTTTTATGGTTTATGGTGTACATGATCTGTTTGTAATTTTTCAAACTCAAAGTTATCATGGGTTTGAATATTGAAATTTGTTACAATGGTGTTCCTAAGTTAATTTATGATTTTGGGACTATCATGTATGTATTTATTTTAGGTGCTTCTACACTACCTGACAATTTAGACTGCTTAAAAATCTATAAACTAAGAATTTCTTTCACATGAAAGACAATATTAAAGAAATAAAGACAAGACAATTGGTTGATCTCCAGGTGGTCTAGAAAGACCACACAATTGCTTTTGTAAGAAGTCTTCAATTGCCTGTAAAAGTATTTACATGCCTTTTGTTTCAAGATTAATGTCATTTTAGTTGAGATTAGTGCTTATATTGAAATGTAAATAAATTGTCTTTCGTGTTTGGTTTGAATTATATGAAATTGGGTTCAAGAATCTTTGTGATAATAAAGCCAATTAGTAGAGTATTTATTTAAAAATTCTTATTTTAACAAAATTAACTAAAATTTAAATGAAAATGTTTCATTATAAAACAGGACACGTAAAATGGGACAAAAAAGTTATATTATTAATGATACAATATATGGTTAATCGATAGGATTTTGGTCTATTTTTTGTGCTTTGATTTGATTCACATTAATGGAACTTTATATTCTAACAAGTACAATTAATTACTTCTAACAGTATAAAAATAATTTATATAAATATTAATTAAGAATCGGTTCTGACAGATACTCAACATGTAAGGCTTTACACAAAATAAGATGTGTAATCGGTCTAGATTCCAATCAATTTTAAAATTTAGGAATCAGAATCGGTGCCCATGATATCCGTTATCATTTTGGAACTGTCAGTTACAAACCTCCTTCTTATCCAAAGATAGGTACATCGGAAAAAAAGCTATTCGTCAAAAAAAAACACCATTCAAAACTTCTACAGTTTTTGCTTGCCTTGCATGAGATTAAAAATAGCAACTAAATTATTTTTTAATTATTTAAGCTAAAATAGTAGCAAACATTATTTAACCTAAAACTAAAACCTATTTTGTTTTTAAACTAAAATAGCAACGTACTTTAACATTTAACATGTAATAGCAACATACTTTCATATTTAAAATATAATAACAACTTATTTTTATTTGTAAGAAAATTAATGTAGTATTATATTTAACCAAAAAATACAATGTACTTTTCTTTTTAAGCTAACTTACCATCTTTAATATTTATCTCGTAATAGCATATCAAAAGAAAACTTATTGCCACCGAAAACAATTCGCCAAATGAAACTATTCGTTGAACATAAAGTATTTGATTCCACCACAATACGTGTTCTGTGTAATATGCAATTTGTTTTGAAAGAAAAAAAATTTGAAAAAAAACTATTTACCATCCGCCAAAAGAAAACTATCTATCCAAATCTTCGAAACAATCACGTGAATTCGAAATAAAAGTTAAAAC